GCAAAACTTCATGACATTGGATTTGGCAATGATTTCTTGGATATGAAACCAAAATCACAGGCTGCAAAGGAAAAAATAACTTTCAGGGAGAAAAAAAATATTACCTACATAGAAAGAGGGATCAGTAACTTTACACCTATCCTAAGTACCATTAGACAATAGGGGAAATACCTTCCAAGTTCTGAGAGAACCCAGAATTCTATACCTAGCCAAACTGTCACTCCTGAATACAAAGTAAAGATATTTTCAGATTTAGAAAGTTTGCTGCCCATTAATCTTTCCTAAAGGAATTATGGGAGGATGTGCTCCAATCAAAAACAAACAAATAAAACACCTCCAGGAATCCAAGAAGAATAGCTTGTTACAGAAAGCAGTGGTGAACACAGAAGTGAGAAAAAATACTAAGTTACATTTAAACACATGTTAATCATTGTCATTATCATCTAGAATTAAAATACTAGATGATAACAGTATGGAAATGGTCCGGTGGCCAGGTGGGGAATGGGAGAAGAAAGCAGAGGTAAATGGTAGAAGTAAATGGTCACAAAAGAAATTTTAGCAAATCCCAAAAACAGAGATGTATGCCACATTCATTGACATAATGTGCTAAATATAAATAAAAGCTCAAAGATAGCCTTCAAAAATCTATATATATAGAAACTTTAAAAACATACTTTTAAATAACTATTACATTAAAGGATAAATTCTTTTATAGATATATAAATTACCAGTATTTAAAAATTAACAATTGGAGCATGATATCAAACCTTTGGGGTGTGGGCAAAGTAGCATGGAGAGGGAAAGAACTGGCCTTACATGAAATTATCATCAAATTGTAATATGTTTGAGTGTCTGTTATGCAAATTTATGATGAAATTTACAAATCAATAAGAAAAAAATGCAAGATAAAATGGAGCAAAGAATGAGAAAAGCCAATCCACAGTAGAGGAATTACAAATAAACAATAATCATTAAGGATGGTCCATTTTTATAGTGATTCCGGAAATGCAGAATAAAATAATGAGATGCTCATTGACAAAATAATACAAGATTGTTTATAATAAAGAATGGGTATGTGCGCTAACAGAAATCGGGAAGGAAGTGGTTGGGGAAAATTTCACGAAGAGTCAGTACTTATGGGATGGAATTACTTTGGGTCAATCCAAGACCACGGCCCTTACTTAATTATGGGCCTTGCTTTTCCCCCATCAACTAGAAAACAAAGGACAAAAAGCACAGGCAAATGTGACACATGGCCAGGATGTGGCTGGGTTGACCCGGGGAGCCCTGGAATTGGAGACTGTGTTATGCCATAGTGGCACAGTCAGTCTATCTGTACATCCTTCCTTTGTCATTGTCTCCTTCCCAAGCATCACATATTTGTTACATGCCAGACATCGTGGCATGTCACAGTCAAGCTTCCTTTCTTGACTATTTCTTTGTCAATTCACTTCAATCCTGAATTTTATTGTAAAGACAAGCTAATGGTATTTAAGAAAAATTTTGAAGAAAAATAATTGTTTAAGTCCTCTCATAATACCACTATAACTTCCATTCCAACACTTTTGGGTTTTGCTTATTCCCTTTGTCTGCATGTGTCTTAGTCCATTAGGGCTTCTATAACAAAATGCTTTACGCCGGTAACTTATAAATGACAGAAATAGGCCGGGTGCAGTGGCTCACGCCTGTAATCCTAGCATTCTGGGAGGGCAAGGCAGGTGGATTGTTTGAACTCAGTTCGAGACTAGCCTGAGCAAGAACGAGATCCTGTCTCTACTAACAAAATAGAAAGAAATTAGCTGGACAACTAAAAATATAAAGAAAAATATAAGCCAGGCATGGTGGTGCATGCCCATAGTCCCAGCTACTCTAGAGACTGAGGCAGGAAGATTGCTTGAGCCCAGGACTTTGAGGTTGCTGTGAGCTGGGCTGATGCCATGGCACTCTAGCCCAGGCAACAGAGAGAGACAAGGAAAGGAAAGGAAAAAGGAAAGGAAAGAGGAAAGGAAAGGAAAGGAAAGGAAAAGGAAAGGAAAGGAAAGGAAAGGAAAGGAAAGGAAAGGAAAGGAAAGGAAAGGAAAGGAAAGGAAAGGAAAATATATTGCTCATAGTCCTGGAGGCTGGGAAGTCCAAATCAAGGGACCAGCAGATTTGGTGTCTCATAGTCACTGGCTCCTCATAGATGGTAACTTCTAGCTGCATCCTCACACAGCAGAAAGGACAAAATGGCTCTCTCCAGCCTCTTTCATAAGGACACTAATCCCATTTGTGAGAGTAGAGCCCTCATGACCTAATCAGCTCCCCAGTGGCCCCAACTCAATACTATCACATTGAATATTAGGTTCCAACACACGAATTTTGGGAGGACACCAACATTCAGACCAAAGCAACAGACATCCCTACTTTGTACAATTTTAATCACATTGCATATATAATCTAACAATTGATTTTTCTCTAATTACCTTTATATCATAATTGTTTTTCACGGATCCGCTTAGCTTTTAAAATTGTATTTTCGCTGGCTGCATGACATAGAGAGCTGCTGCCCCAAGGTGTGCTTGTGGAGTTGGGGGTTGATTCCAGTAACTGAGTTTGGATTTGTGACACAGTGGAGGATTTCTCAGTGAACTTAGCTTTTCCTTCTGTTGAATCATTTCCTCAGGCTAAATTCTCAACAGCTATATTATTTAGTCAAAAGAAACAGAAGAGGAACAAATCCTGCTGGTCTGAAATACCTTCAAAGTCAACCCAGAATCTACAACTTCTTCCCACTTCCTCCACCCTTCCTAGTCTGCGCTGTGGCCACCTCCTACCTGCGTCCCACCTGGTGCCTCTGTTGCAGTGCTTCTCAGCCTGGGTGATTCTGCCTCCAGGGCCTTTGGCGATGCCAGAGGATAGCTTTGGTTGTCATGACTGGGCAGAGCAGGTGCCACTGCCGCCTACTCGGTAGAAGCCGGGATGCCGCTAGACACCCCGCAACGCACGGGACAGCCCACAGCAAAGGCGGCAACTGTGCTGAGCCGAGCAGCCCTGGCCTAGTGTCTGACCTCCATGCAGCAGAGCCTCGTTTCTCTGCCCTGAGCCCTCTTGCGAATTCCCAGGTCACCTGGCTTAAAATGCAAAGCCTGTCTGTGACCTACAGGGCCCTCTCTGACCTGTGGCCTCACCCTCCGCCAGGCAGCCCCTCTGCTCCTGCACTCTCTGGTTTTTTGTTTGTTTTTACGACTTTTATTAAATCCTTACAAAACAGAATACAAAATTCCGGCTTTCGACAGTTAGTGGAAAGGAAAACGTTTGAGCTCGATCAGTTCAACTGGTACAATGGAATTAAAGTGCTTGGATGTTTCCCCCCCTACTTTAAAAAATTTCTGAGGTTTTGTTTGTTTGTTTTTTTGAACATCTTGACATTGATGTATGGCCGTTCCCCCAGCGCCCAGGCCGCTCCAGATCTTCCGCTCATTCACAGACCCACGAGGGGTCTTTGGAAAGGCCAGTCCACAGATACAGGCGGCCGGGGGGACCGGGGAGGGCGCACCACCCCCACCGGCCACTAGACTGTGACAATCGTAGGAGACTTGGGAGGGGGAAGGGGGGCTGGGCAGGCGGTGTCCGAGCTCCCCACCCAGAGGCCCCTCCGACATTCAAATATTCTTCAGGAACAGGGAAGCGAAGTCAACTGATGTTTTCTTTAAAAAACTAACTAAACACAACGAAAACCCCCGACCGAGGTCTAGAGGCCGGAGGAGCTGCCCTGGCAGACACCTGAGCGCACCCCGGGCCGGGCTGGCCAGGAAGCGACACCCCAGCTGCCGCCCCGACCAGCAGAGCACATGTGCACGTAGAAAAATGGGGACCCCTACTGCATAGTACTTCACCGCCGAGCGGGTGGGGGACCAAGCAGACCCTTCCCCACCATTCCTGGGTGCCCGAAGAGAGGCATGGGCCGAGGCCGTGGAAGTGGCGGCCGTTTTCCTGAAGGTGGGCAGAAGAAAAACGCTGCCCTCGCAGGTGGGGGAGTCAGCAGGACCCCCTGGTCTGGCCCCAGCCATGGGGAGGGGGAGGGGCCGACAGCTTCCGTGCCAGACCTGAGTGGGGGCGAGGCAGGACGTGGCCATAGTCAGACTTAGCCCTGCAAAGGGGCACTCAGGTGCCCTAAGGGGGTGTTGGGGACCCCCAGGTTGGCTGACAGACACCTGTCCAGCCCCTCCCACACCATCCCCCCACCTGGATCCTGCTGCTTCAGTCCCTGGTGGGGCGGGGAGGAGGCAGTGGGTGTGTCCCCGGTGTCAGCAGCAGTTCAAGGTCAAGGTCAGAGGTAGAGTTCCCACCATCAGGGGCCTGGACAGCTGGACTCAGAAGAAGCCCCACTTGTCAACTCTCATGGGGATAGGGAGCTTGGGCGAGGGTCTGGGGGGTCGGAGGGTGGGCCGCCCTCTCTCCTACACACCTGCACCCAGGCCCCCCTCTGGAGACAGGGCACCCCTGCCCCATCAAGCCACCAGGGTGTCTGGGGTGCGGGATTCAGGAGCTACTGTTCTTGTGGCACGAGGGGAGGGGGCCGTCCCTGAAAGTCCTGAGGGCTGGGGAGGCAGACACGGGGGGTGGGGGATGTCCTGTGCTCCCAGCCCTGGGAGATGGCAACCAGCTGGAAGCAGGCTCCCAAGTCACCGTGCAGGCCACAGGGGCGAGGAGGTGGTGGTGGGCTGCAGTGACCCTGGCAGTCCAGGCGAGCTTGGGGACATGAGAAACCCAGCCACAGGCACCCTCCACTCTCCACCCCATCAGAAGGAAAACACAAAAGAAATGGGGCGGGGGAACAGGAAAAAAGGGAAAAAACCCCAAAGCAAAAACCTTCTGTAAAAATCCAGCCCCTCCGCTGAGCTTAACGCCAGGGAATGCAGCCAGAGGAGGGGGCGGCCTGCGGAACGCGGACTCGCCATAGCTTAAAAAGAAGTTTAGATCTGGGGGGCACCTACGTACAGAGGGAAGGGGGGAGGGCATCAGGTGCGGTCTCCCACGAGGACCACGGGGGCCCGGACAGGCTGGCTCTCTGTCCCCACTGGGCCAGCTTGGACTCGGAGGGCGGGGACGGCTGCAGGCAGCGTGAGGTGGCTGGGGAGGACGGGCTGGCCCTGCCCGCGGCCTCCTCCTCCGCCAAGTCCTCTTCTCGCTGGGCCAGCTGCCGGTTCATACGATGGCCTTGGCCGCAAAGGACGTGAGGTCTTTGGCACAGCTGTCCCTTTGCAGGACCATGGGCGTGGGCGGGGTGTCCTCTGGGCGCACCCCTGCACCCAGGGTGCTGCAGGACTTGGGCAGCGCTCAGCTGCTGCTTGGCGTCGTGGACGGGCAGCTTGGAGATGAGGTCTTTGGCGGGGCGGGAGATGTGGGCCAGTCCTTGTCGGGAACTCGTACTTGCCCTCCTGAACGCTCTCAAACAGCATGTCCTGGCAGGCCGGGCAGGCCTCGCCACGGTCCCAGCCGCAGTTGCTGCCACGGTGGCCCACGGACAGCGGGTGGCCGCTGAGCAGGATGTACAGGAGGAGACCTGGCTCCACAGGTCGCAGCGCTTGTTGCAGATGCTGGCCTCCTCGCTGAGGGCCTCCACCACCTCAGGGGCCATGCACTCGGCGAGCCGCACGGGGTGGAGCTGGGGGAGCAGTCTCCTCTGAGCTTGATGCTGCTGTCCAGGTCGAAGTCGCAGATCTTCACGGGGGCCACCTGGTTGGGGTGCTGGCAGAGGATGTCTCCCGGCTTCAGGCCCCTGTGGGCAATGCCTTTGTTGTGCAGGAAGTCCAGGGCGCTGGCCACGTCCTGCACCACCACGCTGGCCTCCAGCTCATCAAAGTGCCACTGCTTGTGGATGTGACTCAGAACGGAACCACCCGCATCTTCTCAAACACCGGGTAGAAGTGGTCTTCCTCCCCGAAGAATGCAGCCAGCTCCAGGACGTTCCTGCGTCCCTGGCACGGATACACCCTCTCCACCTCCTGGAAAACCCTGCTCCCAATGTGGCCGGTTGCTTCTCAGTGCCTTGACGGCGTACTCCCGGTTAGCGATGAGGCTGGCGCGGGTCTGCACGCGGCGCGGGCGCCTTCCCAGCACGTCCCCCTGCAGCGGGTAGGCGTCTTCGAACCTGCCGGAGAAGCTGCCGTGGCGTGGCTGCGCTTCCTCTTGCTCCTCTTCTCGTCGTCGGGGATGTCCATGGGCTGGCTGGTGGGCATGTCAGGGCAGGCCCCGAGCTGCAGGCTGAAGTCAGAGTCCTCAGGGTCCCCGTGGCGGGCCTGGTCTAGGGAGAAGGCTGGCCCGAAAGGGTTCTGCCCCTCGAACGGACGGTGGAAGCCCTGAAGTTCGGCTGTTTTCTTCTGCACCATCTTCCGCCAGCGGTGGAGGGGACAGCGGGCAGGGGGCGGCCCGGGGGTGGGCGGCTGGGGGGGGGGCCCAGGGACGGGCCCAGGGTCGGGCTCAGGTCAGGGCCGGCGCAGTGCCGATGCCGCCCTACCCGCCGCCTCCGGGAAACAGCGCCGCGGACTCCTCCGCCTGGGGGCCGCGAGAGAAACCCTGCACTCTCTGTTGGCCCCGCACACGGCCAGCACACCCCACCCCTGCGCCTCTGTTCTCCCGGCCTGGACTGTGCCCCCACAGACACGCTCACGGCACGCTTCTCCGCCTTCCTCACGGCTCGGCTCCGACGTCGCCGTCTCAGAGAGGCTTCCTGGACCACCTCGTCTAAAACGCCGCCATCCTGGCCCTCCCCTCCCCCGCCCTCAGGCGTTCCTCTCCACCTGACAGTGCTGCGACTGATTTTTTTCATTGATTTGGCCTCTCCATTAAAATATAAACTCCTCCGTGTTTTGCTCACCAGTGTGTCGCCATCCTCAGAAGAGCCCCGACTCATGTCCATAAATACCTGTCGGATAAATGAGTTTTGTTGAGCACCTAGTATGTGCCGAAGCCTGCCAGGCCTGCTACACCTGCCACCTCGTGCATTCCTCGTGCCACCCCAAGCTGCTTCTCCCCAGTCCAGAGAAGGAAGCACAGGCCAGTCGGTGCACCCAGGCTCCGATGCCACCAGCTGCAACGTCCTCAGTCCTGTGCCACACCTCCTCCCCCACATGTGCCCATGGCTTGATAAGTGTCACCCTGTTCTTTAAAGCATTTTCTTACATTTACAGCCACTGCCAGCAGTTTTTCCAGGTGACATTTCATATAACTGCTACGTGTGTTCAGACCCGGAGCCCCTTCATTCCATTCCTCCATCCTGCTACCTGGGCCTCCCGTCTGGGCCTTCTCTCGAGGTGGAGGGATGCAGGCCTCGCCCTGCCTGTGCGGTCCCCTGGTGCCACAAACAAAATGCTTAGAGGAGCTGCCCCTGCCGGGCTAAGGAATGCTGCTTTCAGGACACAAAACAAGCCTCATCCTGAGTGGATGAGAGAGCTTCCTGAGACAGCTGGAGAGCAGGGGGACAGACTGGCAGTCCCCTGTCCCCAACCACAGGGGACAGCTGTGACTGGGGGTCCCAGGTCTCAATATCAGGGCTCTAGCGGGGTCGTCCGGGCAGCAGAAGCTCGGTTTCTCCTCTCAACCCGGTGCGAAGGTGCAGGCGGGGCTGCCGGGCCCTCCCCGAAGCTGGGCCTGCTCTGCAGCCCTGGGCGTCTTCTATCTGCCTCGGCACAGAGCCCAGTGACAGTGGCTGTGGTCACTTACGGAGACCTGCTGAGGAGCAGAGAGGGCAGCAAGCTTCGCCCTGGGAGCCAGAGCCCTGGGCTGGCCTTCCCCGCAGCCGGCCGAGTGACCCCGGCTGCAAGCCCTCTGAGCCCGTTTCCTGAGCTGCTGCATTGCAACCTCCCAGTAACCGACTCAGGCGGCTCCTGGGCGTTTGAATGGGGCAATATGTGTGAAGTTATTATTTTTTAACTGACATATAATTTGCACACAGTAAAATTCACCCTTTCGTGTGCGGCATTATAAGTTTTGTATAAACACCAGCTCCACAATTAAGACATAGCACATTTTCATCTGCCCCAAAAGCTCCCTCATGGGCCGGGCGTGGTGGCTCACGCCTGTAATCCTAGCACTCTGGGAGGCCGAGGCGGGTGGATTGTTCGAGGTCGGGAGTTCGAAACCAGCCTGAGCGACACCCCGTCTCTACTAAAAATAGAAAGAATTAATTGACCAACTAATAATATATATACAAAAAATTAGCCGGGCATGGTGGCGCATGCCTGTAGTCCCAGCTACTCTGGAGGCTGAGGCAGGAGGATCGCTTGAGCCCAGGAATTTGAGGTTGCTGTGAGCTAGGCTGATGCTATGGCACTCACTCTAGCCCGGGCAACAAAGTGAGACTCTGTCTCAAAAAAAAAAAAAAAAAAAAAGCTCCCTCATGACCCCCGTAGGCAAACCCTCCCACCCCCAACCCCGGCCCTCAGCCCCTAATGACCCACCTGATTTTTGACCCTACCATTTTGCCTTTTCCAGAATGTTGTATAAATGGAGTCGTCCACAATTCAGTCTTCCAACTGCGGCTTCTTTTACTTAGCACCATGCACTTAGGATTCATGCGTATGTTTGTCATTACCCAGAGCTTGCGCCTTTTTATCGCCGAGTCGGATTCCGCCGTGTCCTGGTACTAGCTTGTCCTCCCCCGTCCTTTGGCGACTGTGAATACAGCTGCCACGCAGTATCTGTGTGTAGGTTTTCGGGAGAATGTAAGGTAAGAGCCCAGAAGTGTGGGTACTGGATCATGTAGTTAGTGTATACATACCTTTTCCAGAAATGACCAGACTGATTTCCGTGGTATCTGCGCCATTTTGCGTTCCCACAGCAGTGTCTGAGAGTTCCAGTTTCTCTTCTTCTTTGTCAGCACTTGGTATGGTCAGGGATTTTTTTAGCCCTTCTAGTAGGTGTGTACCATAAAGTTGCTTTTTAACTGTCCATCAGCAGTTCCGGGTCATTGCAGCAGCATTGAAATACGGGTAGGAAACCAGGCTCTGGAGCCAAACCACTTGGGTTAAAATCCTAACTCTATTTACAAACTCCTTAATTTTCAACTTCTTCTGTTTTTTGAAACAGTATTGCTCTGTCTCCCAGGCTGGAGTGCAGTGGCTCAATCACAGTTCACTGCAGCCTCCAACTCCTGGGCTCAAGCCCTCCTCCTACCTCCGCCTCTCAAGTACCGGGGACTACAGGCAAGCACCACCACGCCCAGCTAATTGTATCAAAACGGCTGAACCGGATCTATATACTTTTAGCTAAGTATGACTTGGAAGTGAACTTTGCACGCTTGGGGCTATTCTGTGCAGTTTCTCACGGTTTTAGAGCCACAGACTGGTACAGGGAAATTCAATGAACTGTAGACATCACCGTGGTGGTCATCGATTATTCTGGTAAAGGCACAGAATTTTTAATGGGTTCACAAAATTCCATTTTCTTATTTAACAAATATTTTTAAAAATTAGTTTTTATTTTTTAGTTTTTGTAGAGACAAATCTCACTATGTTGACCATGCTAGTCTCAAACTCCTGGTCCCAAGTGACCCTCCTGCCTGGGCCTCCCAAAGTGCTGAGATTACAGGCATGAGCCACCACGCCCAGCCTCATTTGACAGATATTTTTGCGGTCTTGCTGTGGGCCAGGCACTATTGTAGGCAAAGGTGGAAAACAAAACCAAGTCCCTTGCCTCAGGGGGCTCACATTCCAGTGGGGTAGAAAATGATAAACATATAAACATCTCAATATATGATATACTTACAGAACAAAAATTATGATGATAAAATTATAATTAAATTTTATGAATTAAAATTACATAACTAAAAATGTTAGCTACAGGTGCTAAAAAGAAAGTAAACAGAGAATGATTTAGAGTGGGCAGCGATTTCAGGAAGTGGCACTTGAGTAGTGACCGAAGGAAGCAAGGAAGTGAGTGTGTAAAGGTTTGGAGCAAGTGCAAACCTTAGGCAAGAGAAACAGCGATTTTCCTTTCCACCTGGCGACATTCCACAAGATCCAGAACTTAGCTTCTCATCTAACTTCTAAGTTTCTTTTAAGAAATCAACTGAGATTATAAAAATCAAAAGGCCTCATCAAAATTCTTTTGTCCCAAAAGTTTTGTCGAGTAGAATTTGTACCTGAGCAGGTTGCCTCCCACTCCCAGGCCTCAGTTTCCCCGTCTCTCCAAGGTGAAAGTTGAGCCAGGTGCCAGGAGGTGTCATGGCAGAAGGGGGAGGGGCTTTGTTTGGCCAGAGCTGGGCTTGACTCCTGGCTCTGCCATTTCTACCAAACCATAACACTGCGTCTTCACCTCTCTGAGCCTCTGTGTTTTCAAAGCAAGCCTTTTGGGGTCAGATGAAGCGCCCCGAGTCCAGCTGGTATCTGACGCCTGCCCTCCTTCTCCCCACACCGCTCAGGCCGGACCTCGGGTCTCGAGAGGTGGTGCCTGTGCGCGGGGTCCGTGAGTGGCCGAGGCCGGGATGGGAGGTTGCCAGGCGCACCTTTGCGGTGACACTAGTTGAAGCCTTCTCGGCTAGTCAGGAGAACCCCCAAACTTTCGCAAGTCCTCGAGTCTAAATGACTTGATCGTAGCCCCACGTGTCGGGAGCCGGAGGAGCATCCGGAATTCCGGCGTGCAGGGCACGTCTGCAACGCAGCATTCCTGAAAGCCCAGCGCCATTTACGTGACCCGCAGAGCACGCTCAGGAGAGGGACGGCGTGCTGGCCATGTGGGTCCCCACGTGAGTGGGTCCTGGGAAAGGTGGCACGTTCTCGGTGGAAACCAAGACGCCCAAGACTGCCAGCCTGGAAGTTGGTGATGAGCAGGCTCCTGCCAGGGGTGCACTGAGGCAGGGACAGAGCTGGCTGCTACACACTTGTGTGCACAGGCAGATGCCGCACCCAGGGGAGGGGAAGGCCGAGCCCAGGTTGGCAGAGCGAAAACACAGGGGTCTGGATCCCACTGGCGCGGGGGCCACTGTATGGCTCTGGGTCGCCAGCCTCGGGACTTCTTGATGAGTGAGGAAAACGTGAGCCCCACTCGGTTGAGACGCTAACTGGGCCCTGCCCCACGCGGCCGAACTCAGTGCTCACAGACTCCGCGCCAGGTCTGAGGCCCGTGCGGGGCACCGCGCCCGTCATTTCACTCTGTCCCGTGAGGTCACATGCTGAGGAACCTGAGGGCCAGAGAGGGCCTCCTCACTGTCCTACAGGTAGTAACCAGAAGAGCTGGGGTTTGGATTCAGAGCTGTCTGGCTCCAAACGCTGCGTGCAGCCCGGCCCGGCCCGGCACGCTGAGACTCCCACTGTCTTAGCAGCTCAGGCCGCTGGAACAAAACGTGTGCACGGGGCGGCTCATACACAGCAGGTGTTTACACGCCACAGCG